TTTCGGTTGCCACCGGATTGCCTTCTACCGAATTCGGGAAGGACCCGTTCGGGACGCTTCGCGACCCGCGGAACCTTCTAATAACACAAGGGTTACTGCCTTTGTGTCGAGCCTATATATAGCCTCTCCTTGTACCCAGGTGAATCATTCAATAGATTTATCTTTCCTGAACTAGATCCTCACACATAGAATCCGCTCGCCAAGCCTTGTGGTGTAAGTCTGAGCTCCCTTCGAGCTCGTGTCCATGCCGGCCTTTTACAACCGCCGCACGGAAATCAGGTTGGCAGCAAGGTTGGGCACCCAAAGCACGTTCTTGAGGCCCACCATCTTCCCATCAGCACCCTTGAACATGGCCTTGCACATGCCTTTCACCTCTGCTCGCTGCCCCAAAGCCGAAGTGACATGCTTCACCGGTGACGGTTCAAGTTCGGTGAGTAAGTCCGCGCGAGGTGTCATGCTATAGGTAGTGCCGCTATCAATCACCCAATAGTCCATGGAGTGTAGGGTGACTTTTCCCACAGTAGCAGGCTCCTCAAAGCCTTCATCCTTCTCTGGTGCAGCCGGTGCTTGCGTCAAGACGAAAAAAATTGACCCGGGAACCGATCGTCGCTCGGGTCCTTGTCCTTCTATTCGTTCTTCATATTTGCAACTCCACCTCTGCGACCGCCATGGCCTCCACGGCCTCTTCCTCTCCCTCTTCCTGCTCCTCTAACCTCTTGGTCTTGAGCAGGGGTCCATCCATCAGGGAGCTTGTAGGAGTCGCGCCACATATGTCCGCTCTTGTGACAATAATGGCACTCGCCGTCGAATCAGCCACGACTGCGTCCATAGCTCTTGCTGTCGTTGCCGTATTCGCCATTCCCGCGGCCGAAAAAAAAGTTGCTGCCTCCAAACCTTCCTCATCCTCGTCCTCTGCCCCTTCCACGGCCATATCCATGGCCGATGCTTGCTGCCCCGGCGCCATCCGAACCCGCCAACTCATGGCGGCGGAAGTCCTCTTGAAGGATCTCCCGTTTCACGTCTTCGAGCAAGAGGCGGGGCAGATCACAGTTGATGTTGATGATGAGCGAGGACCATGACTCTGGGAGTAAGGTCAGCAACTTGGTCTTCTTCCGGAGCTCAATAGAGTTGAGATCCTCTCCTTCAAGCGGCGTCAACAAATCGAAGAATTTCTGCACCCCTTCTTCCACAGGTTCATCTTCTTCAATTGGTAGTGTCGCCATTTGCCTTTCCAACACCACCGCTACCGCCGCTGTTGCAGGAGCGTGTAGACCCTTGAGAGGAGCCCATGCCTTTGGTCCCTTCTCTGGTTCACGCTGGAATGGCTTGATGTGACGGATCTGACTGCTCCCCAATGCTTGCCCAAGTAGGAGATAGCCTTGTGCGCTCTTGCGCACCCACAGGCTCTTCTCCGGGTCGTTCTCGAGGCTCTTCTCCATCCCTTCCATCACCTCCAGCAGGTCATAGTGGTCAAATATGTTCTCCATTCTGAAGGACCATTCAGAAAATTTGTCGCCATTAAACTTGTCAAGCCCGAACACTCTTGGTTCATCCCTAAAAGGTCCAAGAGTAGGTTGCACGGGCGCCATGGCTGAATCACGGGGTTGACCTTCTGCTTGGGGTCCTCCATTGCCTCCAGCACCTCAATCACCCCTTTATTCAGGTCCAGCAATCGTCGTAGCTGCTCCAAGGCGCTCTGATACCACTTGTTATAGTCACAATAGGCTCGAATGTGCCTAAAACGAAAGATAAAGTGCACTGTCGGATTTTTGCATAGCAACTTCAATCGTTCATAGCGTTCTGGTCACAGCTTCAAATGACCTGATTCAAATTTGATCTAGAGCGTCTTAACGTTGCCTACAATAGGCAATTTAGATCGCACGATTTCATTAAGGAATCACGTCGCAACATCAGTTTGAACGAACGGCACTATGGCAGCCACTATAGTCTTAGAACATAAATTAGGACGAGTTGCGAGTTGGGAATGACTCCCAGCTCCTACAAACCCCAAGAGCCGAAGTACAGTGATGTGGAACAGTGCTACACTATCCCCAATCACGAAGGGTCACGAATATACCCTTCACAAGGGTCTACACCAAGTGAAATGTTACACTACACAAAGTAATGTAACTAGTGTCAGTATCTTGAAGTGTACCCTTTTTTCGCGGGCTTCGCGATCACTTGAAACTTGAAACCAAGGCTCTTCATCATAAACTCATCCTTGAGTTTTTGATGGGTCTGCTGCACACACATGCGACACGCCGAATGTTCCACACACGCGACAAAATAGAAACCGCGCACGAGATAGACGAGAATAGAAACCGCGCATGAGACACACGACAAAATAGAAACCGTGCATGGGACAAAACGACCGCGTGACACACGACTAGCGATAACTCGCCATTGACTCGACACACACGCATTCGACATCACTGTGAGAATAAGAACGAGGAATGAATTGACTAGGAATGAGAAAGGTACAAGTATGAAACCCTAGAAAAGCTGTACCCCCTATTGGCTACCCCACTACAGCCTACATAGGCTATATCATGTATGTCTGACAATCACGACTCATCATTCACATAATAGTATAAGCACGAAATATATACTATCTCATGCACACACGCATATACGCACACGGACAACAAGCCGAGTGCAAACCGTAGGTTGCACCAACATACCCCATATGGAGTCACCCTATAAATTTTCTAAGTTGCCGCAACAAAATACCACTTCAACCGTTCGAATATTTCTTGGTCGTGCTCCGATCGAAGCAATCCTTGGTTCATCGGAAAGCCCTTGAGCAGGGGAGTCACTGAGTTTTCTGCTCAAGCAGAATACCATTTGCACACACTCAGAAAGTTCAACATACACCAAATGCAATATCCTTCGCACGTGCACATCACGCATGCAAGACATAAAGATAAGATGGGTGGTAGACAGACGTGAATGCAAATGATTGCATCACACAACAAACTCCCCCTCTGGCTGCCAACCGTCATCCCACATGCCATAACTCAAGCATGCACCCTCAATGCACACTCATCCCAGCAAGCTTCATGCCCTTCCAATGCTCAGGTTCAGCCAGGCGCTTGGTAAGAATATCAGCCACCTTCTGATGGGTCTTCACTTTCTCCAACCGCACTTTCTTGTCCATGAGACTCCTCACCCAGTGCCAATTAGGCCTAATGTGCTTCGTTAGCAAAGCTTCACATCCGACTCATTGTCACAGAATATCACTGGATCTACGCCGAGTACTCCAATACTTCGTCTATACTCCTAACGTCGGACTCACCTACGAAGCTAACCTAACCGCCACCCTACAACCGCATGGCTACGTAGACGCAGATCACGCAGGAGACAGTGACAACAGATGCTCCCGCACAGGATTCATTTTTCAGCTCCAACCTGCTGGCCTCAAATCTTGGAATTCCCAGAAGCAGGGACTCATCGCGCTTTAGTCAGCCGAAGCTGAGTTTATCGCCGCCAGTGCAGTTGTTTGCGAAGGACTGTACATGCAGGAAGCGAAAGTGACGATGAACAGGCACTTGACGTTACCCTGCGTCAATCAGAGCGCGATCAAGATCGCGAACAAGCCCAGCTTTGTGAACCGCACGAAACACATCGCACTCCGTTACTTTTTTGTCAAGGACGAAATCGACAAAGGCAAGGTCAAACTAAAGTACTGCCCAACTGGTGACATGGCAGACTTCTTGACCAAGAAGCTGTCACGTCAGAAGTTTTAGCACTGCACCGACCTCTGCGGGATCTCGAAGAAATGCTATGTGGCTCAGCTTCAGGAATGAAGGGGAATGTTGGAATAACCGAAAAGGTTATCGTAACATTCCCGAAGGCTCTCCACCCACGCGTTACTCCATAACGAAGTAGCGCGTCTGTACCAATACCGCAACAGCTCATATAGAGCATGCGGAAGATCGAGAGTCACCCGAAGGTCAACAGTCGAAAAACAGTCAACGGTCGTGAATCTTAACCGTCCAGTAACCGGACTTGGTAGTTACAGGATGCAACATGGTAACTATTAAGAAGAGCAATGGTCGTGGTTACTCTAGCAATGTAATTCAGTTAATAAGGAAATGTACCACTCATAGTACATGGCTAGCTAGTTTGCTATGTATACATTTGTATACCAATCTTACAATCATCTTGTTTTCTTTGAACTATTATTAACCAGGTCACTATCAAGACTTCTTTTTCCTCTTAACTCAGCAGCCTTATCATATCCACTTCAATCCTTTGGTTGTAACAACAAACTATACCCTCTATAGACCAACTCAACCTACCCTAACGAAGTGCGCAAACGTATGAGTGTTCATTGACAGGTCGACCCGTTGAGATGCATTTTGTCCATTAGGGCGTTGGTCAACGGCAAAGATAACCAATAATTCTTTGTGACATATAAATCTTCTTCAAGAATGCATGTTTGTGTTAGGTTCACGCCGTCCTGTCTTTGAGCTGTAGCACTTTGCTCCTGCCCGTCCTCATTCAGTAAAGCGGATTTTTCGTTTTCGCACGTTTCTGACACGAGATGAAGTGTGCTTCAATATCCATCAGATTTCAAAGAATAGTACATCCGTTCCGTGCTTGTCTGAATCGTCCAATAGGCCTTTTCTCTTTCTCTGGTAGGCCGGAGCATCCACGTGGCGCGCAACGGAGAGCCAGCGGCCACCCGTGTCCCACCAGCCCCACACCACCCAGGCTTTCCCGCTCCCTCGCCACGCGAAGCGCGTTGCGCCGCGCGACCACGCGACTTGGTAATTGCCCAGCCGTTAGTCTAGAGCCGGCCGAGGTGAGTAGAGGTAATGCGACCGCGCAGCGCGTTTTTCGCTCAGCTACGGTTGCCAGAGCTGCGCCCGCCAGTGCGGCAGTCCCTTCCCCGCGCGTAGCCCCGCCAGTGCGGCAGTCCCTTCCCCGCGCGTAGCCCCGCCAGTGGCTGACCGCCTCGCCTCGCTTCGTGGCGCCACCTCTCCCTGCGCTACCGGATGGAGCCAGGCGGAGGGGGAAGGGGGAGGGGGAGAAAAGGGGCGAGGGGGGGTAGAAGCGGTGGAGGCGCACGAGGGAGGAGAGGCAGTGCGAGGGGGGAGGCGGTGGGCGCGGTGGCGAAGGGGGCTGCAGGGGCGTGGTGGGCGATTGGGGGAGGCGCGGAGGGCGGCTATGCGGATGGGGGGGAAGCAGGAAGAATCGCGGCTAGAGGAACGGGATGGGACGTCGGGGAGGGCGCGGAGGTCGGCGCAAGCGTGCGCGGAGCGGCAGTGGCAGCGCGGGAGGGCGGAGGGACGGGCGGAGGAGTGGGAGCGGTGGGTGGAGGAGGGAGAGCAGCGAATGCAGCGGAGGGATGGACAGGGGGAGGCGCGGAGGGGCGCGTATCCCGCCGCAGGGGAGGCAGGGGGAGAGGCGCGGATGGCGGAGCAGGCGGGAGTACGGTACGCGTAAGCGAGGGCGCGGGGAGGGGGAGGACGGGGGGTGGAACGGGGCAAGCGGACGGCAGTCGCGGGCGGGGGGTGGTGGCGCGCAGAGGGAGGGGCGCAGGTGTGGCGCGCGGACAGGATTGGACGGGGACGGGCGCGCATGCGCGTGGGAATGCGCGGATGAGAGGGGGGGACGCCGGCAGGGGGTGGGACGCGGACGGGGGAATGGGGTACCTCGATGGGCGGGTGAGTGGTGGAGAGGCATTGGGAGCGGTGGGAGGGCAGCAGGGGCGTGTGGATTGGGAGGAGTACGGAGGTGTAGCGAGGGGTAGGAGAGTGGAGATGGCATGGGGGGGTGATGGCGAGGAGGAAGGGGAGTGGTGGGATGGGGGGGACGAGGAGTCAAACGCAAGGCAGCAGATGGTGGGTGCAGGGCGCATGCACCGTGACCAGCTGCTGCCCCACCTGCAGCAGCAGCAGCAGCAGCAGCAGCAGCAGCAGCGGCCGGGGGAGGAGGAGCAATGGCAGCAGCAGCAGCATCTGCAGCAGCAACGTCAGTATGAGCAGCAAGAGCAGGTGGAGGGAAGGGGCGGCGAGGGGCAGTTTCGTGATGCGGCAGGCGGGTGGGTGGAGGGTGGACGGCAGCAGGCGTGGCAGCTTGGCGGCGGAGTGGGCGGCGGTGGGGAGGAGCTTGGGCGCACCGACGTGGGTGTGGGTGTGGACGGTGGGGGGGATGGGGCTTGGGGGGAGTGGTACGATGGGGAGGATGGCGGAGCGGCAGAGGAGGAGTGGGAAGGAGACGGAGGGGAGTGGGGGGGAGAGGGAGGGGAGTAGTGGGGGGGAAGGGGAGGGGAGGAGTGGGGGGGAGAGGCAGGGGAGGGGGAGGAGGACTATGAGGTGGGGTATGCTGCTGGCCTGGCTGCTGCTCGTGAGGCCCTCAGACAAGCCTCTGCTCGTGAGGCCCTCAGACAAGCCTCTGCCGCCACTGCTGCTGCACGTGCACGTGTTGGTGCTGGTGGGGTGGCTGTTGGGGGTGCTGCTTCCATGGGTGGGGCTGAGGGGGCAGCAGGCGGTGCGGCAGGAGGTGGCATGGATCTCATGCTGCCTCACCACCCGCCCGCTGTAGCACCAGGGAGCGCAGCAGCTGCCCTGCACACACCGGATGCTTCTCAGGTGCCCACCGCAGCAGCAGCCACAGCAGCAGGTGGGGGCGCAGCAGGGGGGGGCGCAGAAGGGGGGGGCGCAGGTGAGCAGGAAGAGGCAGGCGGCGGCGGCGGCAGTAGGCGGCGCGGCGGGGGAGGAGGGGGAGGCGGGGGAGGCGGGGGAGGGAGCAGGAGCGGGCGGCGGCGGCACGTGGACGTGAGTGTGAAGCGCGACATCTGTGAGCTGCGGCGCGTGCGCCCCGGCATCACGGTGGGCGGCATCATGCGAGTGTGCCGCGCCAAGTACCCGCACGTGCGCCTCATCCCCTCCCACGTGCGCCTCATCCCCTCCCACGTGCGCCTCATCCCCTCCCACGTGCGCCGCATCCTCACCAAGGCGCCCCACTGGAGCTCCACCTTGGCGCAGCGCAGCAGCAAGCGAGTGCGCGCGCCCGAGAGCATGGCGCTGGAGGAGGCGCTCGTGGCGTGGCTGCGCGACATGAAGGGCGGCCCGGGCGCCACCAAGGTGCAGCTGCAGCAGATCTGCGCCAAGGGCCGCGAGCTGGGGCCGTCGTTTGGGGTGTCGCCCTCCTTCAGGTGCTGCCAGGGTTGATGGCAGGGGAGGTGGGGTACTGTGCCATGAGGCGGGGTACTGTGCCATGAGGCGGGGTACTGTGCCATGACGCGGGGTACTGTGCCATGACGCGGGGTACTGTGCCATGTGTCCTTCGCTTGCTGCTTCCTCTGCGCCCTCCTTCTGCCCCTCGCTTGCTGCTTCCTCTGCTCCATCTGGCCCTCGCCTCTCCCCTTACTGCCGCGTCTCAACACTTTCCAGTGAGCCTACCCTCGCCCTGCCCTTGCAGGTACAGCATTGGGTGGGCGTGTCGCTTCCAGGAGCGGTGGGGGTTCTCAAAGCGGCATCTGGAGGAGGAGAGGGAGGCGTACTTCAATGACGACCCTGCTGCTGCTGCCGCCGCCGCTGCGGGCAGTGCGGAGCCGTCGCTGGTGGAGCTGGCTGATGAGATCTTTGGCGCTCAGATCCTGGTGGCGCGCACGCATGGTGGTGAGGCGGGGGAGGGGGAGGGGGAGGGGGAGGGGGAGGGGGAGGGGGAGGGGGAGGGGGAGGGGGAGGGGGAGGAGGGGGAAGAGGGGGATGAGGAGGGCAGTGAGGAGGATGATGAGGACGAGGGTGAGGAGGATGGAAGGGGTGGGGGTGGGAGGGGAGGAAGGGGAGGGAGGAGAGGGAGGGGAGGGAGGGGAGGGCGGGGAGTAGTGGGAAGGGGGCGTGGGAGGGGAGGTGCGTGGAAGGGAGGGATGAGGGTGGTGGGACGGGAGACGTCACTGACTGCTGGCAGGGAGGTGATCGACCTAGAGGGCGGTGAGGGGGGGGACAGGGTCGAGGGGGGTGAGAGGGTCGAGGTGGGTGAGGGGGGTGAGAGGGGCGACAGGCTGCAGCGGCGGCGGAGGGGCGAGGGCGGGTCAGAGGAGCAGACACAGGAGGGCAGGGAGCAGGCAGGTGGGGGGGCAGGCGAGGAGGGCGATGGAGGAGAGGCGGCAGCAGAGGCGGGTGGATGGGCAGGAGGAGTGGACTTGCTGGCAGGCACGGCAAGAGGCGCCGCAAGGGATCGGGCGAGGAAGAGGGCAGCAGGCAGGGCGGTACGCGCGGTGCAGCCGAGTCGAGAGTTGCTGGCGCTGGCACTGGCAGAGGCTGGCGTGGACGGGGAGCAGGCGGGTGCCGGCATGCAGGGAGCAGGTGGGTCTGACTCGGATGATTTAGCAGAGGGAATCAGACGGGCATCGCCGCCAGCAGGGGCATCGGTGAGGGGTGCAGCAGCAGCAGCAGGTGCAGCGGCAGTGGGAGGGGCGTTGGTGGATGTGGAGGCGGCAGTGGCAGCAGCAGGAGACCTCCGCCTGGACGCCCCCAGCGATGACTCCAGTGGTGGCCACGCCCGTGGTGGTGATGGTGGTGATGCTGGTGATGCTGGTGATGCTGGTAGGCGGCACGTGGAGAGGCAGCGTGCTGCAGGGAGGGAGAAGCGGGCGCCGGGCGGTAAGGGCAAGCACCGGGCGGCAATCAGTCTGCGAGTGAAGCGAGTGATCTGCATGCTGAGGGCGGCCCGCCCCGACATGGCGCCCAAAGACATCCACCGCCTCCTGCACCGCGCCTTCCACGCCGCCGCCCGCCCTCCCCAAGGCACTGCCCCTCCCTCTGCCGCCTCTGCCAGCGCTGCTGCTGGCAGGGCAGCGAGCTTGGCAGCGGGGGGAGTGGCGGCGGCGGGCGTGGAGGCGGCGGGAGTGGCGGCGCTGGACGTGGCGGCGGTGAGGCGCATCCTGAGGAAGAGCCACGTGTACCTCGCCCTGCCCGCGCACAGCGCCACCCTCATCCGCCACAGCAGCGGCGCCCACCCCCAGGTGCAGGCGGCGGTGGCGGCGTGGGTGCGGGCCATGGAGGCGCGGTACGGGCGAGAGGCGGTGCGGTGGGATGACATTCTGGACTATGCCCGGCAGGTGGGGCCGCACATGGGCGTGCAGGAGCGGTTCCGGTACAGCTACCACTGGGCTCGCAAGGCGCTGCTGCGGCATGGGCTGGGGAGTAACTGGGGCAAGCAGGTGGAGCGGGGCGGTGGGAAGAAGAAGGGGAAGGGGAGAGGAGATGGGGGAGCGATGTCGATTGATGGTAGCACCACTGATGGTAACACGACAGATGGAAACACCACCGAAGGGCAGAGCAGTGATGGTGGAGGGACGGACGAGGAGAGGGAGGAGGGGCGCCACTCACTGCACTCTCACCGCCCTATTGCCGCTGCCGCTCCTGCTGCTGCTGCTGCCGGGCGTGCAGGGCAGGCAGCGGGGGGAGAGGAGCAGCAGGAGGGGCCGCTGGACCGACTGCAGCGCCTGGCGGAGCAGTGGGCTGCTGAGGCACGCACGGCGGGGCAGGCGCATGGGCGCACAGGGGAGGGGGCGGGCGGCAGGCAGCGGCGGTGGCGCCACACGGTGGTGCCGCCCGCTGTGAAGCTCGCCATGTGCGCCCTCGCCCGCGCCCTCCCCTCCCTCCCCTCCAAGGCCATCGCCCGCGCTGTTGGCGCCAGGTGCGTTGTGTTGGACTCCTTGCTACCCTCACCCACCCCACCTCCTCCCTTCCTCCCTGATTCATGCATCCAGGTTGAAATTGGTTCATGCATCCTGGTTGTAATTGGTTCATGCATCCTGGTTGTAATTGGTTCATGCATCCTGGTTGTAATTGTTTCATGCATCCTGGTTGTAATTGTTTCATGCATCCTGGTTGTAATTGTTTCATGCATCCTGGTTGTAATTGTTTCATGCATCCTGGTTGTAATTGGTCAACCCAACGCTTTCTCTCCAGAGTCCTCTGTCCCAACTCAGTGTTATTGCTGCTTGTGGTGCCTTCCACGTTCTCTTGCCTCCTTCTCTCCACCCCTTTCTCTCTCTCCCTTCACCCTTCACCCTCCACACCTCCCCTCCCTGTGGGTGTCCCTCCCCCTTGGCATGGCATGGCATGGCATGGCAGGTACGGCATGAGGCTAACGAACGTGTCGTTGCCAGCGGTGCTGCTGAGGGAGGACGACTGGAGGCAGCTCGTGCAGCGCGCCCACACTGGCAGGCCGGGCGCCGTCACACTCAGAGGCGCTGAGTCCCGCCTGGAGGAGGCTCTTGCGCTCGCAGTGAGGAAAGCTATAGCGAGGATGGAGGAGGACAGGCCAGCTGCAGGGGGCGAACGGGAAGATGAGGGAGGGAGCAGAGGGGGGGCAGGGGCGGAGCAGCAGCAGGTGTCAGTGAGGGCGGTGCAGGAGTATGCGAGGCGGCTGGCGCCGCTGGTGGGGGTGGGTCGCGGATTCACGTGCAGCGTGGGATGGGTGCAGCAGTTCATGCAGCGCTGGGGGTTCCACCCTCCTGGGGGCACTGCAGGAGGTGGTGGTGGGGCGAGGGGGCGAGGGGGCTGGCTGGGTGGGAGGAGAGGGGAGGATGGTCGGACAGAGGACGAATTTGAAGAAGGGGGAGGGGAGGAGGGGGAGGAGAGTGAGGGGCAGGGAGGAGTGAGCGCGAGGATAAGGGGGATACTGGACGAGCGGTGTGAAGTGCGGCAGGAGGAGGTGGCGGCGCTGGTGGCGCTGGCAGAGCAGCAGCAGGAGAGGCGCGCTCAGATCAAGGCGAGTGGACGCCGGCTGACGGACGTGCGCGAGGAGGAGTGGATAGAAGAGGGACGGCACGATGGTGCTGGTGCGCGGGGCAGGGTGGCAGGGGATGGGATGGAGAGGGATGGGGGGGATGGGGGCGTGACTGGAGACAGCAATGGCGCCTTGGACGTGACGGACAATGATGGTGGTGGTGGTTTTGACACAGACACTGACCTTGACCTGCCCGCCGCTCATGCCCATACCGGCCCCCGTGCTGCTGCCACTGCTAATGCGTTTACTCCTTCTGCCCCTCCTGCCATCACTGCACAACGTGCTGTACATGTTGCTGCTGCTCATGCTGCTGCCACTGCCACTGCCACTGCTGCTACTGCTGCTGCTGCCCCCACGCATGCCCCCATCACCCCGCCACCTCAAGTGAGCACCCTGCTGGCGTCACTGGCCGGCGTGCGGGTGGCATCTGCCGCCCAGGCCGCCCCTCAGCTGCAGTGTGCGTGGGGTGCCCTTGCGGCAGCCACGCCGTTCCCCCGGCAGCTCACAGCGCACCGCGCGGCAGAGGTGGCGCGCGCATGGCGCCGCCTTGAGAGGTCCCGCGTGGTGCTGTGGGAGGGGGGTGCTGGGAGCGAGAGCAGTGAGAGCATGAGCGTAGAGGAAATTGGAGGGATGGGCAGCAGCATGGAGGAGTGGGAGTCGAAGGAGGGGATAGTTGGCGCGGTGGCAGGGAGGAGCGCAGGAGGGGGAATGCCTGGTGGGCGAGGGAGGAAGAGGAGGAGGAGCGGGGATGAGCAGGACGGTGTGGTGGCATCACTAGCCGGGGCAGCAGCAGCAGGGAGGGGAGCAGCAGGGGGAGGGCGGTTGGCAGGAGGCGGGCAGGGGTCAGCGGGCATGGCAGCACCGCTGCTGGCCCCGGAGCTCATAGTGGCGGCGGCCCTGCGAGCTGCTCTTGGCCCCCACCCCGTGCCCGCCCACCCCGTGCCCGCCCACCCCGTGCCCGCCCCGCCTGCTGCTCACTTTCCGCGCTTCCCTTTCCCCCACGCTGTGCCACCCGCCACCACCGCACTGCACTCCCTCGCTCAGCTGCTTGCATCTGCTGGCTTGCCGTGCGGCCTACTCCCTGTCGCCAGGCCATACGGCCCTGCCTGGGGCCAGCACCTACTCACTGCGCCTCGCCCTTCCTCCCACCTTGCTCCCTCTCTGCCAACGCCACCTCCCCCCCGGTCGCTCACTGCGCTCCTCACTTCAATAACGTCCAACCAACCGCCTCCCTTCACCACACCTGCGCCTGCTCCCGCCAATGCCTCTATGGCAGCAAGAGCAGTTGTTATTGAACCTGTGCCACCTGCTGCTGCCACCACAACACCTTCTCCTGCTGCTGCTCCCGTTGCTCCTTCTTCTGCTGTTCCTGCTCTCAACGTGTCCACTCCCGCTGCCGCTCCTGCGTCCGCTCCTCCTATTCTTTCTGCTAATTCTTCAGCCCCCAGTACTGCCAGCAGTGCTGCAACTAATCCAGCTTTTGCCACACCTGAGTCTACTGTTGCTGCAATTGATTCCGCTACTCCTGCTGCTCCACTGACCAAAGTTGCTACTGCCACTGCACGTGCTGCTCCTGCCACTGTACCTGCTGCTACTGCCACTGCACCTGCTGCTACTGCCACTGCACCTGCTGCTACTGCCACTGTACCTGCTGCTACTGCCACTGCACCTGCTGCTGCTGCAGCAGCGGCAACTGCAACCGATGTCCCGGAGGTCAGTCCTACACCAGCTCTTTCACCTCAAGCTGCCTCTGCGCCTCTTGCTGCTGCCCTCACTGCTACTGATGCTGCTACGGGCAACCATAGATCACCACTTTCAGCTGTACCTGCGACTACTGCCATTGCACCTGCTGCTGTGGCCACTGCGCTTGCTGCTAGTGTGGCTGCTCCAACAACTGATTCTGCTGTTGGTTCTGACACTCCCTCACAGAAGTCATGAATAGAGTCCAGTCCACTAACCAACTACGCGTACGACTCCAACTTTTCAGAAGACCAGGCTCGTGTCAAAATTATGTATTTGTTAGTTGTAGGCTACACTGAGGTGCTCACTAAGGAATACAGCACTTGTAGGGTTTGTTACTTGTATCACCCTTTTGTTAGTTCATTACAATCCGCTATGCTACTGTATTTCGACATGGTATCATTGTGGGCCGTTCCTAGGATCCTAGCCCGCCTACCTCCTTAAGACTGTTAGCTCCGTTCGTTTCGCGCCCTCCCCACCCCTCTCCGGCCAGAACGCAACACACAGCGCACACCAGCCAGCCTGCCAACCACTACCAATCAGCCAGCCAATCGCCAGTCAGCCAGCCAGTCGCCAGCCAGCCAGAACACCACCAGTTGCCAGCCAGTGAGCGCCCGCAGCCGGCAGCGCGCGCCGCCAGCCAGCGAGCGCCCCGCCAGCCTTACGCACGCGCGTTGGCAGCTGGTGCATTCGCCGCAGCCTGCGCGCCCTGCCAGCACGCGAAAGCAGCAGCGTGTATGCACTGCCAGCGCGCAGCAGCAGCAGCCCGCGCATGCATTCACAAGCGCGCGCTCTGCCAGCGCACGGCACTAACAGCGCATGCACCCCACCAGCCCATGACAGCAGCAGCCCGCGCGCACCCCGCCAGGAGGACACACGTGCAGCATTCGCACGCCCCGCTAGCCAGCGCGCACCCCGCTAGCAGGAGACATGTGCAGCCCTCGCACGCCCGCTAACCAGCGCGCCCCCTGCTAGCACGCTTCCTGCCCACTAATAGCGCGCCCCGCTAGCCACCAAGTCTAGGGTTTAGGGTATATTACCCTTCCACCTGTGCCTACCGTCTCACACCTTCTACTTCGCCAACGACACTCCCAACAGCAGCTGGCAGCCGCATTACCTTCCTCTGGCGTCGCTCCTTGTTCCTAGCCGTTCCTACCAGTTTCTCGCCGTTCCTAGCCACCCGTTCCTAGTCTCAGCTGGCTTTCGCCATGGCATCCGCTAAATTTCTGTAGCAGCAGCAGCAGCAGGGGCAGCCGTAGCAGCAGCAGAAGCATTTCCAGCAATGGGACCTCAGCAGCTTTGGCGCCCTTAGCAGCAGTGGGGGCCTGGTGGTCCGGGGAGCGTCGGACGCAGCAACGGCCCAAACAGCTACGGGGCTCGTCACAGTGGCCGAAACGTCAGGCCCGGCCAGTATCAGATTCTGGCTGGCCCTGGTGCTGGCACTACTTGCAGGCGTCCTGACCACTCGGCATTGCGCTGATTCAGTCGCCTCGATGACCTCTACCATGAGCGCTTCGGGTCTGACTCGGTTCCCTTGTACTTGCCTGCTCTGCTTTGCCATGGTTACCAAGTGTTTGGTATGTCCTTTGATGATGCTCGTTCTGTTGTATATACTGTAGGACAAGCACGGTTGCTGGGCCGTGCGGAGAGAGGTTCTTCCTTGTTGTGGATGACTTATCTCGCTACACCATGGTGTTTCCCCTGAAGCAGAAAGCTCACGTGCCTGATGCTCTGATTCCGTGGTTGCTGGCCACTAGCGCCAAGTGCGCCCTCCCTGTGCTTAGTCTCCACTCCAGCCGTGGCGTTGATTTCCGCTCTCGCGTTCATGCCAAGTTCTATCGCGAGCAGCGCATCACAAATTTCTTCACGCTTCCGGACTCACCGCGGCAGAATGGGGTTGCTGAGCAACATATGCTTGGTCATGAAAAGCGCCCGTACGTCCACCCTATTTCTATCGCCCTTTGCTTCACTACGCCGCGCACCAGCTGAACCTCTGGCCGCATGTTTCACGCCCAGAGGTTTCACCGACCTTTCTCTGGACTGTGTCACCTGGTGTCGCGTCTACGTTTCATGTCTGAGTATGAGTTGCACACCTGCATTGACCTTGGTGAGTTGCACAGCTATTTTGGCTTGCAGATCACCAGGGACAGAGCATCACGCACCATCACTCTGACTCAGTCGCACATGATGCAGCATGTCTTTCAGCGATTCATCTTCCAGTTCTCCTCCACGCAGCCCACTCCCCTTGCTATTGACCACAGGCTCATTGCTCTTGTTCCCAACGAGCCGGTTGAGCCTAGTGGTCGATACGTAGAGCTTGTGGGTTGCTTCATGCACCTGATAACGTGTACTCGACCGGACCTCGCCTATTCTCTGTTGACGAGAAAAGGCCCCACCCTCGCATGGGCGAAGACGACTTAATAGCTGGCTAGGCTTCGTGGTCGACACTGACTTGGAGGAACAAGTCGGCTTAGTTGGTCGACCTCGGCGGAGCCGACTTTGGTGAAGCTGGCCACTGCAAAGCTGACTTCAACGAACGACGAAGCCGACTTCTGCGGAGCCGACTTCAGCGAAGCCAGCGAGACATAGGCCGCCAAGCTGCAAGTTGGCGGACGGCGTCGACTTGGAGGAGCAAGTCGGTGGGCTTGGTTGGGCGACTTCAGTGCTGCATGATGACGCCGACGAAGTTGGCGAACGACGTCGAGCCTCGGCGGTCGACATAGATGCTTGTCGACATGACGCCGACCTGTGAACGTTGACCGGCCGTCAAGTCGATGCCAACTTAGTGGCCTCTTCGGGTTGACCAAGTAACTAGTCGGCGAAGTTCTGCGGAGATGCGCGAACTTCGCCCCATGAGGTATTGGCGAAGTTGATCTGCGGGTCGAGCATCACATGCTCAACGACCTAGCACCTGCACAAGTTGTGTGACGGCGCACAATGTACACGCAACCGTCTTTAGGAACCGGATGCAGCCGTTACAATACTAACGTAGCTTAGGAACCGGGTTTAGGGCCTAGGCTTAGTAGCCTAGGCCAAGCGGGTATCGAAAGTCTTGAGGCAAGGATGAATGTCGAAAATGTGTGTTGTTCACTATAGCGCACAAGGTACATATAGCAAACTAGCAAAGGTGCACCACCAACAGCAAGGAAACATAACTACACTAAACCTAAAGCTACAGGCAGTTATAAACATATATAAAATATATATCGCGATACACCCCCTTAACTGCCTGCAGCACATAGCTACAGCAAGTCAGACCCCTTGAAGGGGTATAGCAGGTGCAGTGGAAGATGGTAGAGAGGTAAATGAGGAGGAGGCGAGAGAGAGAGAGAGTTGAGAGGAGAGGAGATAAGAACAAAGGAGGAGGTGAGTGAGGGATGAGGAGAGGAGGTGGGCGGGTGGCCGCGGCGTTCCCTCTTACTAACTCCCTTTTACGAAGGGGGGGTTGAGTGGGGGATGAGGAGAGGAGGTGGGGGGGTGGCTGCAGCGTCCCCTCTTACTAACCCCCACATCCCCACCCCCAATCAACCAACCCCCTTGAACCTCACCCCCCATTTCAACCGCCCCCTGGAACCGCACTCCCTCCCCCCCTTTCTTCCTTCAGACCCCTCCCCACCCACGATGATGCCTGGACAGTCCTTCACAGGTGGGGCTGCTGGTCACAGTTGGGGCTGCTGGTCACAGGTGGGGCTGCTGGTCACAGGTGGGGCTGCTGGTCACAGGTGGGGCTGCTGGTCACAAGTGGGGCTGCTGGTCACAGGTGGGGCTGCTGGTCACAGGTGGGGCTGCTGGTCACAGGTGGGGCTGCTGGTCACAAGTGGGGCTGCTGGTCACAGGTGGGGCTGCTGGTCACAGGTGGGGCTGCTGGTCACAGGTGGGGCTGCTGGTCACAAGTGGGGCTGCTGGTCACAGGTGGGGCTGCTGGTCACAGGTGGGGCTGCTGGTCACAGGTGGGGCTGCTGGTCACAAGTGGGGCTGCTGGTCCTGGTGCCTGGTGCTGACGTGACGGCGCTGGTGCCGGTGCCGGTGCTGGTGCAGGTGACTGGCTTCGGTGCTGGTGCTGGTGCTGGCGGCTGGCGCTGGTGCTGGTGCTTGGTGCTGGCGGCTGGCGCTGGTGCTGGTGCCTGGTGCTGGCGGCTGGTGCTGGTGCTGGCGTGACGGCGCTGGTGCCGGTGCTGATGGGGCGCGACGGGTGGGACGAGCTGCAGACGGGCTACAGGCTGGGCGGGATCAGACGGTAGGAGGCGCGCAAGCGCTGGTGCAATCGCCGGTGCGCTGGCGGTGATCGCTGGTGTTCCGCCGCCACTCCCTCCCCCCTTTTCCTCTCTCCCCCACAGCATTCTGCCGCCACTCCCTTCCCCCTTTCCCTCTCCTCCCCACAGCGTTCCGCCGCCAATCCCTTCCCCTCCTCCCTCTCCCACCCACAGCGACCGCCGCTGCACACGCGAACAGTCGCGACGGGGGGGGGGGGGTGACGGGTAGGGGGCCGGGGGAATGCGACGGGAGGGAAGAAAACGGGACGGGGGGGGGGGAAGGGCCGCAACGACCGCCATGGACGTCGTCCCCTTCATTCCCGATGCCGCCCCCCAACCCCTTCCCCACTCTCGCGCAAACTCGGCAGCAGGCGTAGGCGCGGGCAGAGGTGGTGACGGGGGGGAAACGCGACGGGCTGACGACAAGGGAAACACGATGGGATGGCGACGGGGGAAACTCGACGGGCTGGCGATGGGGGAAAACGCGACGGGCTGGCGACGGGCAGGCGACGAGGGAAAAAAAAAAACGACGGGCTGGCGACGAGGGAAACGAGGCCGGCTCGCCACCGCGCCCGTCGCAGCGAGCACCATGCCGCGAATGGGTGGGCCGATTAAATTAGGTCAGGATTTTAATAGCTCAATACCATGTTACAATACTAACGTAGCTTAGAACCGGGTTTAGGGCCTAGGCTTAGTAGACTAGGCCAAGCGGGTATCGAAAGTCTTGTGGCAAGGAGGAATGTCGAGAATGAATGTTGTTCACTATAGCACACAAGGTACATACAGCAAACTAGCAAAGGTGCACCACCAACAGCAAGGAAACATAACCACACTAAAGCTAAAGCTACAGGCAGTTATGAACATACATAAAATATATATCGCGACAGCAGCTGCAGCGGCGTCCGCGCGAGACCCTTACACCCCAGCAGCTTCGTGAGTGGTACGCTCAGAGTGGGGAGACTTGGAGTACTGTCCGCTGCCCATATATCATTCGCACTGGTGATCGGGCTGGTCAGACTTGCGGGACAGTTGGTCACACACAGGCTCGCTGCTTCGCATGTCTGAGCGACGCCTGGCGTGCAGTGTTTGGCGACGAGGCTGAGCTCCCCCGCTGGCTAGAGCTGCTTAGGAACAAGGTGGAAATCTTTGCTTTAGATTATGACACTATCCTTTCTGCCATATATGCTTTGAATATTAGTACTAAGGGTGACTGTTACTTGTGTGTGCCGCCCGACCCTGGTATAGCGGCTGCTCCTTTAGGTGCTGGTGAGTCTGCTCTCTCTGGTACTGTGCCTGCTAAGGCCTTGCACACCTTCACGCTTGACTCAGGTGCTTCCCGCTGCTTCTTTCGCGACAGCATCATAGTCACACCACTCGTAGCACCGGTTGCAGTCTCTCTGGCGGATCCCTCTGGGTGATCGGTTCGTGCACGTTCCTCCACTGTTCTCCCGTGTCCGGCAGATCCGTCTGGCTTATTGTCAGGTCTTCACCTCCCCTCGTTCTCTATGAACTTGGTGAGTAACGCCGTCCTTTAGGATGCTTGGGTTGATACCTTTATCCCTGGAGGACAGCGTGTGGCAATCTGCATGTGTGCACGGACGGGCCGTCACCTGGCCACGTTCACCCATCCGCCTGGGTCGAGCCTGTACACACTGACTACAGAGCCTCCTTAGGTAGCTGCATCTGCGTCCTCGTCAGGTCAGCTAGCAGCCCCCTGATCGTGTCGCCTCCTATCCCACCAGACTCTCCTTTGGCACCACCGCCTTGGTCACCCCTCCCTGCCACGCCTCCATGGCATGCACTCCCACCTCCTTGTCTCTGGTCTTCCCAGGTCTTTGCCTCCCATCCCACCCTCGCCTGCCCCTCCGTGCCTTCCCTGTGTCAAGGGGCGGCAGCGTGCCGCTCCTCACTCCTCGTTTCCCTCGACGAATGCTCCCCTGCGGACTCTCCACATGGTCGTGTGGGGCACAGCCCGCGTCCAGGGACAGGGCCGCGAGCGATACTTTCTGCTGGTTGTTGACGACTACTCGCGTTACACCACAGTCTTTCCCTTGCGCAGCAAGGGGGAGGTCCTTGGTGCTTTCATCCCTCGGATCCGCGCTGCCCGTCTCCAGCTCCGCGAGCGGTTCGACACGGACCTTCCTGTCCTGCGTCTGCACTCTGGTAGAGGTGGTGAGTTTGCCTCCGACCTCTTGCGGGACTTTTGTCGTGGGGAGGGCATCCTCCAGTCGTTCACGCTTCCGACCTCTCCGCAGCAGAATGGGGTTGCTGAGCGCCGCATTGGCTTAGTCATGGAGGTCGCTCGTACCTCCATGATCCATGCGGCTGCTCCCCACTTTCTGTGGCCGTTTGCGGTCCGGTACGCTGCGCATCAGCTCAACCTCTGGCCCGTGTCTCCTTGCCGAAGACCTCGCCTACACCGCATTGGACGGGAGAGGTTGGCGTTGCGTCGGTGTTTCGGGTCTGGGGCTGTCGTGCCTTTGTCCGTGATACCTCCGCGGACAAGCTCTCTTCGCGCGCCGTTCCCTGCGTCTTCCTTGGCTTTCCCCCTGACGCGCCTGGCTGGCAGGTTTACTACCCCACCTCGCGCCGTGTCCTGCCCTCTCAGGACGTCACGTTCGACGAGTCGGTTCCCTTTTACCGTCTCTTCCCCTACCGCACTACCCCTCTCCCCCCCACCGCCGCTCTTCCTCGCACCTTGTCCCCCTCCGGTAGACCCCCTCCCCCCTCAGGGTCTTTGTCACCGCTTATGCACGTGATGCATAAGCAATAACAGGAGTACAAGGGGTAAAGGAAATAGTAATAGGAGATAACATTAGAAATGCATTGCAAAGTAGATTCTTGTGTAGTGTAGAGTGTAGCGAGGTGACGGTTGGAATAGAGATGGGTGGGGGGGGGGAACGGATTAGGAACGGCTGGAAGCCGGGGGGGAAAAGCCTCGAAGTGCGAAAGGTGTGACGAAGGGCGAAATGTGTGACGAAGGGCGAAATGTGTCCCAACCCCGAGCCGCGCATTTGGGAATGTGCAGCACAGGGTTGGGCTGGGTAAGGTCTCGCACGCACGTACCACTCGTTGCTTGTTTGCTAGTATTCTCTCGTAATAGTGGAAGTTATCGCTCTAAGCTCTTAGCACACAGTGGTACGCCACCAGGAGGGAACCAGTGGGGTGAGGGAGTGATCCCGTTCATACTAGCAAACAAGTGTAGGCGCGCAGCATGGATAAGTATGAGTTACGCTGGGGTCGGATCTTCACGCGTAGAGAGGAGGAAAGGCCGCGGCGTGAGGATTCGCAGGAGCGTGGGCGTTCCCTAGAGCGAGCGCCCAGAAGGCCGGCCTTCCGAGCGGATAGGATTCCCGTCGCGCCGGCCCGCCGCGGGAGAGAGACGGCGCACGACGTAGGAAGCGGCGGCAGACTCGATGCATCGATGAGCGGCGCGCCGTGGCGGAGGAACACGTTCCACTTGCGCGGCGACGAACACCGCGATCCGCGCGACGAAGGGGTGTTCCGCTCCCCGGAAGCGGGAGGGCGGCGATGGGATGAGCGAGGTCGATGGCGGGGGAGGGAGAGACTCCCGCGGGAATGGGGAGAAGGCTCGGGCGTGAGCCGAGTCGAACAGGATCCGCGGGTCGAACGGACGCGGGAGGAGAGTGAGGAGGAGGCTAAGCAGGAGGACGGCGACGAGCCGGTGTACGACGACGAGCAGGGATACGGCGACGAGCGGGAGCTCGGCGACGCGCAAGAGCACAGTGACAAGCGAGAGCACGGCGATGAGCGGGAGTACGGCGGCGAGAGGGAGCTCGGCGACGAGCAGGAGGACGACGACTCGCAGGAGGACAGCAACGAGAAGACGCGCGCGGTACCCCACGTCCCGAGCGGAACCGTGGAGGAATTGCGCGCGCCCAGCGCGGAACACGCCGACACCGCGGCGGCAGCAAGGGCGGGGGAAGGGGAGGTACGCGCGGAAGGGCCGCGTGCCACGGCACCCAACCGCTTGGGAGGGCACCACGCCCGCGATGTGCTGCCGCAGGAAGGCCGGACTCGGGAGAAGGAGGCACGTACGGTGCAGCCGCGGGGAATGCGCGGATGGGGCGAAGCAGAGGACACGCGCGCGACTGGAGCCCAGCGACGACGTGGAGAGCCGAGAGAGGGAGGCTCAGGTTCGATGAAGGAACCGCCGCCGAGGACCGGGCGGTCCGGTGGCACAGAAGGGAGGCGGGAAGGAGTGGAAGAGAAGGGGGTGCGCGCGGCGACTCGTCCGTGGGCGCCGGGAGGAGGACGGGACGGGGAGGACCGCTCTCCTGAGCCGCAGCGGCGCTGGGAAGGGCAACGGAGGGGAGGATCCCGCTCTCCGCGTGGGCAGCGGCGGTGGGGGAAGGGGCCCCATGGTGAAGAGCAGTCGCCTGAGCGGCACCATTGGCGAGAGGGAAGGCGGGAGGAAGCAGACCGCGCATCACCTGGCACTCGGAGGCTCGGCAGGGCGAGGGAAGAGTGGTCACCACCCCGGGCGCGGCGTCAGCTGCGTGAAGCCGGCCCAAGTGAGTGGGAGAGGAACCACCACTCGCCGGAATGACAATGGGGGCGGACGGAAAGGGAAGGGAGTCAGTGGGGACAGTCGGGAGAGACGCGCGGAGGGAAGCAGGAGAGCAGGGCCAGGAGCGGCAGCTTGGCCCAAGGGGCTGAGCGAGCTCGTATGGCCAGAGAGGGCCTGGAACGAGCAGGGCAAGGAGGGGGGTATGGGAGACCGTGGGGAGGGGCCAGTGAGTTGTGGGGAGAGGGAAGAGGGGGCGGGGCCACGGCGACAAGGGTGGAGGTGCCAGCCAGGTTCTCGGGAGATCAGAGGACGGGGCCATCGCTCAAGAACTACCTGATGCAAGTGGGGAATGTGAAGTATCGGTGCGACCGGAACGGCATGGACCCCATAGACTTCTTCCTGAGCCTGCCAAACACCTTGGATGGGGAAGCGGAGACTCTGTACCGTGTGAGGATGGAGGAGCTGCTGTGGAGGGCAGGGAGGTATGGAGAAGACCCCACCGAAGCATTCTTGGAGAGGTTGCAAAGGCAGTTCCCGGGGCACACGGCGGAGCGCATAAGGGAGTTCCAGGAGTTCAAGAGAGGGAGGACAGAGTCACTGCTGGCGTATTACAATCGGCTGATCAACGTAGCCGAAGATGTGAGATGCACGGACAGTAGCCTCTTGATCAGTAAGTTCCTAGGGGGCCTAGATGAAGCACTGGGAGGCGGGCTGCGGATGAGGGTGTATGAGCTGGGCGAGGAGGCAAGCCTGGACGAGGTGTTCGAGCTGGCCGAGAGGGTGGAGCTCGCACAAAGGAAATATGAGGCGTATCTACCGAGGCAGCTGGAGAGAGCGCACCGGCCGACCTGGGCGGCAGCAATGATACCAGAGGACCGAGGGAGAGCAGAGGAGCGAGGAGAGGCACGGGCAGAGACCAGGAACTGCCACCGCTGCGGGCAGCCAGGGCATCTCCGCAGGGACTGCAAGAACTGTGATGGGTGCGGGAAGCCGGGCCACCGCAAGCGAGAATGTCCGGATGCCGCTAAGTGTGAGGTGTGCAAGAAGAGGGGGCACGAGGCCAAGGACTGCTATCAGAGGGAAGGAGGAGCCAGGAGAAGCCCTGAGGGGTTGCAGCGGCAGATCAGCAGGCTGCAGGCTCAGTTACAAGCAACGGGACCGAGGTGGGGGGCAGAGGCAGGGATGTACGCTAGAGACGAGGAGGGAGAGGAGGTGGAGCAGGACGTGCAATGCGCACTCATGGCATGGAGGGGAAGAGAGGAGATGGGGCTGAGGAGCGGGGGGAAGGATGGCAGGCGGGAGCAGAGCAGGAAGGTCCGGGAGAAGGGGCAGGACCCAGGGGAGCCAGGGGTGGTTCTGCCGCCAGCACGCCATCCACAGGAGAGGTTGGCGTGTCAGACCTCCGTGTTACTGCTGGAAGAAGGGGCGATGGAAGTAGAGGGGGAGAAGGTAAAGATCGCCATCATAGATACGGGGGCACAGAGTGTGATGCTGGGCAAGGGGATGGCTGAGAGGCTGGGGCTCTTGGCTCCGGAAAGGCATGTGAAAAAGGGGATGTTGGTGATGACAGCGGAAGGAGGGGAGCCGAAGTGGATGCCCTGCTCGCGGGCACCTATAGAGGTGACACTGTTGCCAGGAGGGAAGCATGAAACCAAGATCAGAATGAGATGTGGCATCTCTGAGTCCGAGGACTTTGACGTGTTAGTGGGCACGGAGCTGGTGTTTGCGGTGGGCATGACCATCTGCACGTGGACCGAGAGGGTGGCCTTCCGAACGCGGTACTGGAAGAAGGAGGGGCCAATAGGAGAGCTGCCAGTACGATTCGTGAAGGTGGAGCCCAAGAGAGCATACCAGGCCATGGTGGGACAGGATGCGGAGACAAGAGAGGCGGGGGAGCACAAGGGAGTGTGTGGGACCAGGGGAGTGCCCAGAATGAAGATGATGGATGAGCCGAGGCGGCAGAGCGACTGGCAGCAGCCCATCCGTTTGGTGGAGCTGTTTGGAGGAATTGGGGTGGGATTAGCAGCAGTGGTGAGGAGTGGGGTTGCAGTGCAAAAGTGGGTGTACGTGGAACGGGCGCCAGAGGTGAGGAAGATGGCCGAGCATCACGCTTTCAAGCTGCAGGCGGAGTTCCCAGAGCTTCTAAGTGCAGGAGTAATCCGTGAAGCCATGAGGGGAGACAGTCACGACGTGGCGCAGTTAACAGAGGCGGAAGTGGCCAGCTGGGGGCAGGTAGATCTGCTGGTGGCCGGGTGGGAGTGCCAAGGGGTGTCATGGGCGGGCAAGGGGAGAGGAAGGGGGGACCCGAGGACACAGCTGATGGAGGACCTCTTCCGTATCCTGGAGTGGCTGCAAGATAGGCAGGGGAGAGTGGCCTACCTGGTGGAGAACCTGGACTTGGAAGGGGACAGTAGGGAGCCAGTACGGCTGGTGCGGGAGAGGATCAAGGAGCAATTGGGAGAAGGGGTGAGCAGCGATGCGGCCAGAATGGGATCACTAGCTCACCGACTGAGAATGTATTGGCAGAACATTGTCCCAGCTCCGAAGCTGCAGGAGGAGATAGAGGGGGTGAGAAGGGCGCCAGAGAGGAGAGTGCAGGATATCCTTGAGCCAGGACGGACCCCAGCGCCGGTGGACAGGAATGGATACAGCAGACATTACCCCTGCAACCAGGTGGGACAGGATCGGCGGGCGCTGCCCACTCTGGTTGCATATGCGGGAGCGGCAGGATATGCATGGGCAGGTGGGGAACCGGGCCCAGGACTCATCTATGATCACAGGAAGAAGCGGTGGGAGGAGCCGACCACGCTAGAACGGGAACTGGCCTTGGGATACAGGGAGAATGCAACGGCAGCTCCTGGGGTGAGCGAGGCTGCCCGGAGGAGAGCCCTAGGGAACGCCATGGACGGCAACATGATGAGATGGCTGGTCCAGCGGATGTGGAGAGAGACGGTGATGTGCTGGGGGCAGGAGGAAGGGGTAGGGGGCACAGAGCCGCGCCCTCAGGGGGCATGGGCATGCCAGGAGAAGGAAGAGGAGACGTGGAAGGTAGGAGAGGCCATGAGTGAGGAAGGGAGAGAGGCCATGCTACGGCTGCTGACCACACACAGAAAGTGCTTCGCCTTCAACATGCAGGAGTTGGGAAAGTGCAAGGTGAAGGAGATGGAGTTGAAGCTGAGCAGTGCGGAGCCCGTGTTCCACCGGAGGAGGAAGATGCCACACGGGGATGAAGAAGTCTGCAAGGAGAAAATCAAGGAGCTGCTGGAGGCCGGGTTAATTAGGCGGTCGGAGTCAGAATATGCCACGCCCACAGTAGTAGCTGCCAGGAAGGACCTGACAGGGAAGGTCCTGAGTAGAAGGATGTGCGGAGACTACCGGGCGCTCAACAAGATCACAGTAGCGGACAGGTACCCCATGCCCATGGCGGAGGAGATATTTGACAAGTTGGCAGATGGGGTCTACTTCACCACGTTAGACCTGCGGCAGGGGTTCAACCAAATCAAGATTAGAGATGAGGACGTCAAGAAGACGGCCTTCCATGGGCCGGATGGGCTGTACGAGTGGCTGTACATGCCATTCGGGCTGAGGAACGCATCGGCAGTGTTTCAGCGGGTTATGGATGCAGTACTGAGGGAGGTGGAATGTGCAGCGTGCTACATAGACGACGTAGTGATCTTCAGTGCCACCGAGCAGCAGCACTTGCGGGATGTGGAGAGGACACTGGCGGCAATAGAAGTAGCGGGGCTAACATGTCACCCCAAGAAGTGCAAGTGGGGTGAGGAGACAGTGCAGTACCTGGGATACGAGGTGAAGGGAGGACAGATCGGGATCCAGCAGGCTAAGGTAGAGGTATTGGACAGGCTGCGGGAGCCAAAGGACAAGTCGGGGCTGAGGGCGGTGTTGGGCTTCCTTAGCTACTACAGGAGGTTCGTGCCCAACTTCAGCAAACGGGCAACAGTTTTGAACGGGCTGCTGAGGGAGGACAGGGCATGGGAATGGGGAGAGGCTCAGAGGGGAGCCCTACAAGACCTCATGGCAGCGGTGAAGACGGCGACAGTGCTACGGCTGCCGGTAGCAGACCAGCCATTCACCCTCTACACCGACTGGAGCAGCCAAGGAATGGGAGGGATATTATGCCAAGAGGTGCAAGGGGAGGAGAAGGTGGTGGCCTATGCGAGTAGAAGCTGCAACTCGGCGGAGGCGCAGTACAGCTCGTGCATAGGGGAGGGACTAGCAGCAGTGTGGGCGGTGGGGCATTTCAGAGTGTACCTGCAGGGACGAGAATTCACCCTGGTGACGGATCACCAGCCACTGACATGGCTGATGACTACGCTGGGACTGACAGGCAGGAACGCACGGTGGGCGATGAAGCTGCAGGAATACGACTTCAAGATCAAGCACCGGCCTGGAAAGACTCTACAGCATGTGGATGGCCTCTCCCGAAACCCCCCACAGCTGGAACCAAGCGTAACCTTAACACTGCTAACCAGGCATGTAGAAGTGGGTGGGGCGAAAGGGGGCAAGGGGCCGGCAGATATTTGGGAAGATGAGCAGGCCATGCGGTGGGTGAAAGAGGAGACAGGGGAGGATGAAGAAATGACGGAGAGAGTGAGGGCTAGGGGGCACCACTATAGATGGTATCAGCAGCAGTTGCAGATCCAAACCGAGGATGGATGGAAGCTGGTGCCAGCACCTAGTGACCGGGAAGCAGTGATCAAAGAGGTACACACGAAGCTGGGGCACTTCGGGCATGAGAGGACAGTGCAGCTGCTGAAGACAGGGTGGTGGTGGGAGGGGATGCGGAGGCAAGTGAAGGGCTGGGTGGAGGGCTGTGAGGCATGCCAGAGGAGCAGGGCAAACCTCAGCCAGGCTAAAGCCGAGCTGCAGTCCCTGCCCATCCGAGGCCTAGGCTTCAGGTGGTCCCTGGATCTGGCCGGGGAACTGCCCCTGAGCCGGGGGGGTAAGCGATACATCGTGCTCATGGTGGAGCACGTGAGCAAGTGGCTGGAGGTGAGGGCAATCTCGAGCAAGAGCTCCAG